GGCCGTGGTCCGGCAGGGGGACCTTGCCGCCCCATCCTGACGTCACCGCCACCTCCTGGGTGCTGCACGAGCAGACCAACGTGGGGTGGGGCGGCCACGGCGCGGAGGAGGTGGACTCGCCGCGAGGCAGCGACGTGCCGGGCGTGTCCACACTTCCCGCGTGCAAGGTAGTGATTAATTATAATTAAGATTCATTATTATTAACGAATAGGCGTGTTCACACTTCCCGCGTGCAAGGCGGCGTGCGTGAGCGCGGCCTCATCGGGGCTGTCGTTTTGCGAGGGCATCGTGTGGGCGCCCCGTGCGGGGAAGTGCTACCGCAAGACGCGCATAAGCTTGGGGCTCTGCGATTTCGATCCGACCTACCACCTGCACCTCCGCTCGGACCTGCCGCCCGCGCCTCCTGCGAGCTCTCCGCCGCCTCCGGAGAATTATGCGCGTGTGATGCGCCGCTTCGAATTCGTCGGGAACGGAAGATGCCGATTCCCTTGGAACGCCCACACGTGCGGCCATGTGAAGCCTGTTTACCAGCCGTGTTTGGTGGAGCAGACCTGCACGTCGACCAAGGAGCAGTGCGCTGCCAAGTGCGCGGAGAATCGCGACTGCAAGGCGTTCGAGTTCAACACAAAGGCGCGCCGCGACCCCTTCCGAGCCCCCCTCTCCTTGTGATTCCGGCCTCCCGCCCCGCAATTCGCAGAACGGATGCTGGGGTGCGCCGTGCGAGCTACACGGTGCGAGAACATTTACGCACACCGGCGCAGCCTCCCCGTGTCCACAGTCCTCAACAAGACCTTGCGTCTAGGCGCCGTGCCGGACCACGTGCAGGTCGACGGGCCGTACACGTGCATGAAGAAGAAGTGATTCCGGCCGTCTATGGCTACACCTCGTGCCTGTCCGCTACGCGTGTCTGTCCTCGACCCAGCCCTAGCTTGGGATGTCCTTTTTTATTTGTTGTCCGCTGCGCGCGGATTTTAAAATCTTTCCTGGATTTGTTTGTTAAATTCTTTTTCCGGCGTTTGTTTTCTTTCTGGGGGTCAGTCGCGGTGCCTTTGTCGAATTTATTTTCAAAATCTGCAGGCGCGGAGCGCCTGCGAAAATTTTGAAGAAATTTGCAGTCGGGCCTGATTTTCATCAAGATCTTTCAAATTTGCGGTGTGGAGTTGGGGGGTGGGTTAGGTTAGGGTTATTAGGGTTAGAGGGTTTTAGGGTTAGGGTTAGGGTTAGGGTTAGGGTTAGGGTTAGGGTTAGGGTTAGGGTTAGGGTTAGGGTTAGTCTTCTTGTGTTTGTATGCCAGCGTTGCAGAGTTCTGCGCTGGGATCTGGCCCCAGCGCCGACGAGTAAGACTCAGCACCGCACGCTGACCCCACCAAATGCCGCCTCAGGGCGCCAGCCACCTCTTACACGCGGCCGGCGCCCTCTCGCGGCAAAAGGGTCGAGCGAGCGGGCAGAGTCGCGCGATGTCTGCGCACCCGCGTGCCGATGGGCGGCACACGCAACCGAGAGAGGCCCTGTCACGCCGCCAGTAGCGTTCCGCACTCCCCACGCCACCAATTGCCGCCTCAGGGCGCCAGCCACCTCTTACACGCGGCCGGCGCCCTCTCGCGGCAAAAGGGTCGAGCGAGCGGGCAGAGTCGCGCGATGTCTGCGCACCCGCGTGCCGATGGGCGGCACACGCAACCGAGAGAGGCCCTGTCACGCCGCCAGTAGCGTTCCGCACTCCCCACGCCACCAATTGCCGCCTCAGGGCGCCAGCCACCTCCTTACACGATTACACGCGGCCGGCGCCCTCTCGCGGCAAAAGGGTCGAGCGAGCGGGCAGAGTCGCGCGATGTCTGCGCACCCGCGTGCCGATGGGCGGCACACGCAACCGAGAGAGGCCCTGTCACGCCGCCAGTAGCGTTCCGCACTCCCCAGCACGCCACCAATTGCCGCCTCAGGGCGCCAGCCACCTCTTACACGCGGCCGGCGCCCTCTCGCGGCAAAAGGGTCGAGCGAGCGGGCAGAGTCGCGCGATGTCTGCGCACCCGCGTGCCGATGGGCGGCACACGCAACCGAGAGAGGCCCTGTCACGCCGCCAGTAGCGTTCCGCACTCCCCACGCCACCAATTGCCGCCTCAGGGCGCCAGCCACCTCTTACACGCGGCCGGCGCCCTCTCGCGGCAAAAGGGTCGAGCGAGCGGGCAGAGTCGCGATGTCCCTGCGCACCTGGGTGTTCGCCGCCTATATGCTCTATCCTGTGCCAAGACGGACACATTTTGACAATCAAAATCTACCTCAAAATTTGCGGCCGCCCCTCGAAATTTGCTGATCAAAATTTGCGGTGGCCCGGATCGAAACCTGTACTTTGGCCAATGCCTCGACGCTCTCCACTCTCCTTGAGCCGACTAGAGCCGTACTGACGAATATACGTACAGTACGTCAGCCAACGGTTTGGGTGGTGACTGGTGCACACCCCCGCCGCGATGTCGCTCGTTCGTGTGCTCCGTGCTCGTAAGTCGTATTTTACTTTATACTCTACTTTATGTATCTAAAAGAGGGGACGGCTCGATTGGACGGAGGGTGGACGCGTCCAGGGGGGGGGGGGGTCGGGGGGTATAGTGATTAGTGATGCCTTCACGACCAAAAGCGTGACACTGACAGCTGCGGAGGGGCTGGAGAGCGAGTCGTAACACATCGGAGCACATCACAACGCCCCTGCTAGCGACGCCTGGGCGGCGATGATGCCGCAGGCGGCGACCGCGGAGCACCGCGGGGATAAAACGGAATACACGTGGCGAGAGTCTGGAAAGTGGGGGCCAGTTCCAGTGGGATAGAGAAGCCTGCAGCGTGCAGGAGGAGACG